CTCGATTACCCTCTCATGCTCGTCGGTTACCTGGGGTTCAACAAACGTTTCAGGAAGTACACTGTATGTCATATCAAAATGTTGATCCTTGCCTGGGGTTCGACGCTCCCGCTCGCTGTACTTGACAACATTTTGCTGCTCATCTTGTTGCGAGGGGAGCGCAGACGAGGTTACCAGAATCGTCTCAATGGTGTCGTTTGCACTGCCATAATCCGTTTCGTCTTCAAAATCGTCCTCTTCCATTGAGTTCGGCAAAAACTGCTGGTGAGCCGGTAACTTCACTACCCCCTACGATTTCATTATTCAATAACTCCATCATCGTTTCATTCGCAGGTTCAACTTCCGACCTCTGTTCTGTATTTCCGCTACCGTCGGTCAGAAAGACGACATCACGTAACGCAAAGACTTTGCCACTTCTCGGATTGAAGATCCGAAGTCCCTTCGAACGATCGGAATATCCAACGAAAACGCCAGGTTCAGATTTCGCATCCCACTTTGATCGCTTTGCCTTGGGCACATGGCACACCACTTTTGCTCCGAACACACGTAGCGCAGCCAGGTCTTGTGGCACACCAGTCAACCGTTCTTCCGGGGTCATTTGCAAACCTTTCGTCGGTGATCAGTTGATCACAAAATCGCTTCTTCAGATACGCATCGAACAGAAGGCATCGCGCTCGTTCAACGATCGTTCGATTCGCTCTCTCAGTTAGACCGTTCTGCTCCGGATTGTACGGCACCGTAACCTCGTGGTGAATCCCGGATCTACCATCGATACATTCTCCATCGGGCCACATAAATCGCTATGGATCAGCTCAAGCACTTCTCCCGCACGAGTTCCGTTCTTCGTGAAGTCTGGACCTCTGCATCAACAAGAGATGAACCAGCATCTGACTGAAAGGCTCGATCTTTGCATGTTCCAATGCCCCATTATTCGGTGCCACAACACCATGTCGGTTTCTTCCTTGGCCACGCAAAAAAAAATTTGTTCATTTGCCAAACATAGTGTATAGAGTCCACTTTCTCTTCCAATGGCCACCACCTACCTCGTTGGAAGCCGATCGCACTTCGCATGCATCTTTCTAAAACGTAACCACTGCTGAGCGGATATCAAGTTGATCGCCAGATCGGGAATGCACAGCACGTTTGCCACGCAGATTCGCTGCTGAACCTCCTTCACATCTTCTGTGTGCGAAGTGGCACCTGAATCGAATATCCAACTCACCTCGTGCCGAGCCTCGCGCCTGGTTGAGGAATGGGTTACCGTAAATGCAGCATGCTTGTTCGATTTGGCCTTCTTCTGCTTCTCATCCTTCATTGGACATTCCGCAGCATAGTGCCCCAAACGTTTGCACTTGTAGCATTTTACGTCAGCCTTGTTGAATGATTTCGACCATTTCTGCTGCTGGGTATAGAACGCACCATCTTCTCCCATTACCATCGGTTCGTACATCTCGGGGATCAACCTTGAATCCTGCATCGCTCAGCTTAAAGGGTGTCCACGATGAAATTGCCACACACAAAATTGATTCGCAAATTTTAGTTTTCATCCGATTGCCATCAAATTTTCAGGAATTGAGAAATAACTATTAAACTTCATTTTACCATTTTACTCGTATTTTATTTACAGTCCATACGCAAATGCCCGCACCTTGGCCTTAACCCCGGCCATAAGATTCTGCACAACCTGTGAATCAACCGTTTTTTGCATGTAAACCCATACTTTCTTCAGTTCCTCGACTGTCTTCACTACCTTAGGTCGTTTAAGAAGGTGCTGCTTCATAATCGCCCAGTACTTCTCGATGGGGAGTGTTGGGAGGGTTGAACATTTTCGGCACGAAATTGACCTTATTGTCCGCATACCACTTCAGCACGTCCTTGGAGTAGTGGCATGAGGCCAAATCCGGCCAGAAGATTGTTGGGACGTTGTGGGCCTTCAGGAGAGGAAGCAGCCGCTTCTGGAGGCACTCTTTTATGTACACCTGTCCGTTCATCGTGTCCTGGGTCACGAAAGGTGCACTCCGCTTCCCGCACGTGCAGATGGCTTGCCAAACCAGGAATTTCTTCGCAAATTTGGACATCTTCTGAGTGCGGACATGCTCCGGAACGCTGAACTTATCCTTGGTCGTGAAAAACAGGTTGCCGGGATCTGTTTGAAGTCGGCCTTTACATATGTTACGTCGTCCATGATGCAGCATTCAACTTTCGTCAGCATGTTGAGGTACAACTTCCTGGCACGGGTTTTGGCGGACTTGTTCTGCTTCTCGTCGCGATTAGGGGCCTTTTGTACCTTGAACGTTCGAAGCCCAGCCTTAGTTTTGGCCTTCTGGACAAAACTTCGGCTTAGGTGCAGCTTCTTAGCCACATTCCTAACGGAGGCGTTCGGATTTCGGTTGAAGGCCCCAACTACGCGGTTGTGATTTTTGGTGTTGTACGGAATACTTTTTCCTTCACTTCTGGGCTTCCGATCGGTGGTCAACCGTTCCTCGAACCGCTTAATCACTCGCGACACCGTGGAATTCGCGATTCCCAACGTTTTAGCGATGGAACGATGCGAGAGATCCTTGTTCTCGTGATGAATGCGCAAGATTTTATCACGCACGAGCTGTTCTTTCGACTCCATTTCCGCGAGTTTTGATCACAGGACTTTAAAACTTGCAGGATGTAAATTTTCATTAAATTCTACCCAACGGTTAAAAAGTTAGAGCAATTTCATAGTGTGGCAATTTCATCGTGGACACCCTTTATGGCTTGTACTCATCATCTCATTTACGTACGCTTCCACGGTGGAGTAGGCGCCTAGACGGATACTGGTCAACTTACGTAGTAATCCTATCCACCGTGTCATCCCATTGTCCTGGGAAGCTTTCTTGAGGTTGTCGCATGCTTGCTTGGCTGTATTCGTTGATTGCACCAAGCTATAGTTGATCGATTCGATGATCAGGCAAATTGTGGCTAATGCCTTCAGTGATTGCCCGTAATCCTAGCCTATTAGTCCCAAGTCCATATATAGGCGTACCCCATTCTAGTTGAAATTATAGTACTATGTTTGTTTTGATTCGCTATGAAAGTTTGACAGATAAAATGAGAGTCTCGTGGATTTTCCTATGTTTGGAGGGGTGCATCGATTAGCTTGGGACCGAAGATAGTACCAAAGCTGAGCCAAAAAGTTGAGCACGTTTCTTCGGGACCTTCTGGTCTTAGAGTTACCTCTATGGTAGTAGGCTGTGTATAAAAGAAAATGATTTAATTAGTTTGACAGTTGCACTATGACGAAGTGGCAGCGTATTCGTGATTTGTCCCACGCGCAAATGTCGCAAAAAGACATTTCAATCGCCGTGGGAGTGTCCCGGTGGACCGTCAAAAGGATTTTATACCGAGAAAAGAAAGGACAACTATCCGCGAAGGTGGCCACAGGTCGTCCGAGGTCAGCTCGGGTTCCAAGGGTTATCGCTGCTATCAAAAGGAAAATTCGGGTGAATCCAGTGCGTTCAATAAGGAAAATGGCAAAGGAAGACGGGATCAGTGACTTTACGGCACGGAAGATCGTAAAGGAAGATTGCGGGGCGAAGTCGAGGGCACGGAAAAAAAACTCACATGATTACCAACCGCATCCGGGAGCTACGAGTCGAACGATGCAAGAAAATCTTGAACTTCCTTAAGCAAAAAAATCCGGTAATCCTGTTCACCGACGAGTCCATGTTTACCGTCGATCCCGTATCAAATTCCAGAACCGACCGGTATATTAGTACTCTTCCGGTAAAAGACGTAGCCGACGAGCACAAGAACGTGTATCTGACCAAGCATCCTGCTAGCGTTATGGTGTTTGGATTGGTGGCTTCCGATGGCAAAAAAAAATGGACCCGGTGTTCATTCCAGAAGGCGACAAGGTCAACACGGAGGTCTACATCGGCATTTTAAGTAAGTATGTTCTTCCGTGGATCAAAGAACAGTACGGTCCGAAGCCAAATGTTGTATTTCAACTTTCAACAAGATGATTAACATAGTTTAAGACTCTGAGAAACATCCCCCCTTTGAATAAATAAAAAAAAATCGAAAACGAAATTTTTGAGAATTTTTGTAATTTTGACATTGCTCAATGGTGCAAACATTATCACGCATACGGTACTGTAAGCGTTTGTTTGTGCTTGTGTATCATATACAGTTTCAATGTGATTCACCAGGTTGCGCATCGGGTGGATGTATCTGGCCTATTCATTCAGACAAACATATGTTAGATGAATAGTACACTAAGCATATGTTTCTGGCCATCTTGTCTTTGGTGAAAGTGAAGGTGTGGGTGGAACAGAGGAGAAGGGCCTCAATGGCAGAAGAAACAAGTGATTAAGGTTAGACTAGACTAAGAAAGTGAGAAGAAATAGATGTACACAAGTCAAGCTATTAGAATTGACTATCTGAGTAATCTAACTGTGCCGACAGAGTCTCAACAGCCCCGGTCACCTAGTCACACCGTCAACAGGGATCCATACACTTACATAGGGTCGCTGGTCATATATCTATCATCCGAAACTGTTTTCAAAGTTGTGTTACAAAGAAGAGAGAAGATTTTTTAGTACACTCCAACTTAATGATCCGTATGTTTATTATCACATGTGTCAAATTTTTAGTAAAATTTGAATGGTACAGCCAACTCCCCATAGGGATTCTATTGGAAAAGTGCGCAATCGTATTACCCGTAGAATAAAATATCTGGATAGGGAGAGTTGACTACCTTTTTGGGGACAAACAAATTGGCACATGAACTTTTCTTATTACGTGATAATTCTATTCAAAGATAAGTTGTAAACTCACCGCCTCCAATCACAGTTCAAGCGAAACGTGTAGCTAACTACCACCGCGGGAGAGAACATCTCTCGTTGAAACCAAGTGCGCCTACCGGTTGGTCGGCACTTGACGTTCAATCATTTGCATGCATGAGTAGCGTCCAGAAGAGAAACACACAGCCATCTACATGTCTACCACTCCGTTATCCCTTCCCACAGTCGTTATCTACAACTGCCCCGTAAGGACATCGCTCAAAGACCTTCGCCGGCACTTTATCAGCATAGCTTTCGTCACTCACATGCGCTGGGAGCAGAGCCGCTTCGATACCAACACGCGGAAGGTGTACGCCAGCTTTTGCTCCTTCGTCGATGCCTTCAATGCCGTGCGCATGAAGGGACCCATGGATAACTATCCTATCTTCAAGCACTTGGCTAGCGAGAAACCGAAGCTGGAAACGCTGGAGACGGTGCAGATCGATTGTGAACAAGGTATGAAAACTCCGGGTAATTGGTAAGAAGATGAAGAATTATGCTCGTTTTTCCTTAACACTATTTCAGATGATATCTCTGTGACCAAAATGTACAACTCGTTGGTGGGACGCGGAGCCATCACGTTTGTCGATAAAGTGGATCATAATAAGTTTCTGGTTATCTGCCGAGATTCCAAGACAGCTAAGAAAATTATTCAGGTGAAGACTCTTGCCAAAAGTGCCATTAAAGCATCATGTAAGTACTAGGTGCCATTTAGTAGGGTGTAGATAAGGGCACTAACAGGTTTCATTCGTTTGATAGTGTATCGGGATGTGATTAATCAAAAGAATACTCAAGATCTTCCAACGCCCATCCGGCAGAGGGATGGTTCTCCCGAACAACGTAATCAGCAGCAACCGCGGCACACCGAAGCATCATCTCGTCGGAATCTTCCGATTCCGATGGATGATCTCATTGCCATGCAGAAGCGAATTATGAACGATGAGTACGAGGATCGCCGTCCTCCATCGCGGGATGGCCATCGCCATGGTCCAGCGCACGATAACGAATGGGAGCGGGATTTCGATCGCGGCGGCAGACGTTCTCCTAGCTTTAGGAGAAACTCAATCGATATGGATATCACTGACGATCAACCGGAACCAGCTGCACCATATCATCGCCACGGTCAAGAATTTTTGAGAAATTACGAGGAACCACATTTCAATCCAGGCTATCAAAACGACTACCATCGTGCGCGGGAAGAGACTCTATTTTTCACCAATCCTCCAGCGCCAAGCATGCTTCCGCTAGGAGGGCCACCGAGGGATTATATTCAGGGCTGGGCGCCTGTAGGGCCGATGTACGAGCCCCCAGCCATGGTCCCAGCTCCCGTTACCAGGAATGTATTCATACCACAACCACCGGCACCGGGAACGGGCATTGTCGGAGGTCCACTTGCGCTACCCCTTCCCACCATAACGATCCATCGTATTCAACCGGATGTTCCACCGCATCCGGTACCGCAACAGGGTGATCTCCGTGAATACTTAGCGGAGAAAAGAAACACCCGACCCCGGGACACCTACGATCCGACGGAAGAGTTAGATCATCAATTAGATGATCTCAACTCTGACCGACCAGTCGCTCCCAAAGAGATAGATCGCATAGAGAGTTACATTCGCGAAAAGGAAAGGCAAATCCAGAATCGTCTACATCTGCTAGACAAACAGCTAACCGACGTCGGAGGACCATCGCAAGCCAGCCATTCTCGAGAGCGAGAGCGCTCTGTCTCGCCAAGCGATCGCAAGGCACAAGAGCGCATTAAGCAAATTCGCGAGGAAAAGGTAAATGTAACCCGGCAATTGAGCCTCTTGCTTAGGATGCCTAATTATCGGGAATCTCGCGAATTTATCGCCCTCTGTGAACATCAATCGGCACTCGACAGGGAGTGCACCGACATTAAACGACAACTTGAAGCGAAGAAGTTGTGGCTTGCCGAGAGAGCCCGTTCTCTATCTCAGGAAACGAACAAGCAGCAACAGGCGCATCCACCAAAGAGTCGATCTCGAGAACGGCGCAGTCGGAGTTTATCACGAGGAAGACGTCGTCTATCTCGTAGCCGTTCCCGTGAACAGCGCGATCGGGGGATCAACATTCGGACCCGCCGGTCACGTTCACCCGATCGCTATCGCCGAAACCGATCAACATCGAGGGATCGCGCAAGACATCGTTCTAGGTCGACCGAGCGTGGCCGGCGCTACAATCGGCGACCTGAGAACACCAGAAGACCTGAGTCGCTTATGCGCGAGATGCGTCAACTGGGACGTGCACGGGAAGGAAAATCCGACCAATGCGGTAAGATAGGAAAATTTCATCTTTCTCACTAAACATGTATGTTTCGAACGAACATTTTAGTATTCATTGGCAACATTGCTGAAGGAGTTCGTCAGGAAGAAATGAAAGCAACATTCGCCCGCTATGGAAGGCTCGTTGAGTGCGATTTTAGTTTACTGGAGAAGTATGGTGAAATCTACATCGATTACTACCAGCGGGAGGATGCTTTCAGGGCCCTCGAAATGAACCGAGTCAAGTTCAACGGCAAACGATTGCGCGTGGCTTTGAACTGTCGAAAGCCGGCCAATCGAGATGGGTACAGTGTGATTGTGGAAATGTCGGAACGTGAGTATGAATAGGCCCAGTTGGAACTCCGTGTGGCTGTGAGTGATGTGCATTCATTTTTTTGTTCCACAGCCGTTCCCGAACGTGACCTGTATGCCCGCTTCGATAGCTGCGGGGAAATAGAGTTTATCTGGCACCATGATAATTCCACGCTCGCTACCATTACATTCGAGAGACCTGAATCGGTGCTGAAGGCATTGGCCATCAGAGAGCTGCATAATCGCATTCCAATCATAGTCCGAGAGTATGTGGAAAGTGAACGTTGAATGATTTTAGGTGTTAGAATGTATGTACAGGAATTTTAAAACATACATACCACTGCTCGTAAAAGCATAACGGTCACATCTTTGCTTGATTTCCTATTCAAATGGGACTGCTATGCGTTTATTGGTAGTATAGTAAGGTGGCATTGAAGACGCAACCGACGGAAGCCATTGAGTGTAAGTATCTCATTATAGTATTTTTACCTGCCCGTTTCAATAAATAAACCACCTGAACATTACTGATCGTTCCAATATTCACTTGCTTCGAAACTCTTTGAAACCCTGAAATGTTTCTCCTGACTTTCCTTCTGTAAATGGTCTGACAGTAGTTAATCCTTGGAGTAAGATAAAGAGTGTACACAATCAACACAGCCAGGCATGGCCATTCATTTCGAGCATTCATTTGCCTCTAACTTTTTTCATCAACAGAATTCCCTAAGATGATGCAGTTCCACGATTGCCTTCGTGGGGGTGCACATGTGTTTCGGTATTGGTCCACTTTCTTTTTCTGTTTAGTTAACTGTTCTTGATATATTTTTCTAAAAAAGAATCATAAATGAAAGTGTAACGATTTGAATGTTTGCTGTCACTTGTGATTCCTCAGCTAGAGGAGATGAGCGTTAATTTAAAGTTAGAAATTGATGAAAAGTGCAATCGAAAAAATGTGCGACGAACATGGTGGGCAGGTGGATTTGGTCTTCCCATACGCTCACGCATACATACGTCTAGATATCTAGATAGAGCTGGAATTGGGGCGTAACAGCTTTTGTAAACAATGACTTCTATCGATGATTTCTAGGAACTCAAGGTACGTCCACGCAGACCAACACAACCATCGGATAGGGGAAGTCTTTCCCTACCTGATGAGGATGTTGGTTTGCGTGGGCGACCTTTGAATTTCTAGAAATCATCGATAGAAGTCATTGTTTACAAAAGCTGTTAGGCCCTAATTCCAGTTCTATCTAGATATACGCCAATTCATGCCTCATGTCGTTCCTCAATGACAAATCTTACCTTACCAACTACGGATTTTACCTGTAAGGTACATGAAACACCACACACACACGCACGCGGCCGTTGGTACATTATGTTGGTTTGCCTTTGCGGACTTCGGTTCGCGAGAAAATGGCCTTACAAGGTTTGTTTAGAAAATGGAGTTAAGGCCATTTCAATTGTTGGTCTTGAAGTTGCAAATACCGAAGAAAGAAATACGGATCGGAACAATCGGCACAGAGCTACGCGACGGAATAAGGACTACGATTGGAAACTCGGAACATGGAACTGCAAATCGCTCGGCTTCCCGGGTTGCAATAGGTTAATCTATGACGAACTTCAACCACGCAACTTCGAAGTCGTAGCACTGCAGAAACTTTGCTGGACGGGACAAAAGGTATGGAAAAGCGGGCATCGAGCGGCTACTTTCTACCCGAGCTGTGGCACCACCAACGAGCTGGGAACCGGTTTTGTAGTGCTGGGTAAGATGCGCCAACGCATGATTGATTAACAGCCGATCAACGCGAGGATGTGCAAGTTGAGGATTAAGGGCCGTTTCTTCAACTACAGCATCATCAACGTGCACTGCCAACACGACGGGAGACCCGATGACGAGAAATAAGCGTTCTATGTGCAGCTGGAGCAGAACGACAACGGCCAACGATGCGTGAACTTTGCAGCCTCTCGGGGTATGGTAATTCGAAGTACCTTTTTCCCCCGCAAGGATATCCACAAAGCCACCTGCAGATCACCTGACCAACACACAGAAAACCAAATCGATCACGTTCTAATCGATGGGAAATTCTTCTCCGACATTATCAACGTCGCACGTACCGCAGTGCGAACATAATTTCGGACCACTACCTAGTTGCAGTATGCATGCGCTCAAAACTCTCGACGGTGCATAACACCCATCGAAGTCGAACAATGCGACCCAACATTGAGCAACTACGGGACGCCGGAGTTGCACAGGACTACGCGCAGCAGCTGGAAGTTACACTGCCCACGGAAGAGCAGCTTGGCGCAGCTTTTCTTGAAGATGGTTGGAGGGACATCCGTTCCGCCATAGGTAGTACTGCTGCAGCGGCACTAGGTACTGCGATCCCGGACCGAAGAAATGACTGGTTAGACGGCGAATGCAAACTGTTAGTAGAGGAGAAGAATGTAGCACAGGCGAGAATGCTGCAACACCGTACGAGATTGAATGTGGAGCAGTAACAAACGCGGAACAGCCAAAACTCGGTTTTCCGAAAGAAGAAGCGTCAGCAGGAAGACCGAGATCGTGAGGCGATGGAAAATCTGTACCGCGTAAACGACACACGGAAGTTCTACGAGAAGCTAAATAGTTCGCGCAAAGGCTACGTGCCGCAAGCAGGAGGAAATCGATCGGCTGAAGAACAACAAAGCAACTGGTGTAGATCAACTACGAAGTGAGCTATTAAAATACGGTGGTGAAGCACTGGCTAGAGCGCTGCACTGGGTAATTGCCAAGATTTGGGAAGAGGAGATATTACCGGAGGAGTGGATGAAAGGTGTCGTATGCCCAATCTACAAAAAGGGCAACAAGTTGGATAGCTGCAACTACCACGCGATCACATTGCTGAGCGCCGCCTACAAGGTACTCTCCCAAATTCTGTGCCGCCGTCTGTCACCATTTGCAAGAGAGTTCGTGGGGAAATACCAGGCGGGATTCATGGGCCAAATTTTCGCGATTCGGCAGGTTCTGCAGAAATGCCGCGAATACAACGTGCCCACACATCATTTGTTCATCGATTTCAAATCCGCATACGACACAATCGATCGAGACCACCTATGGCAGATTATGCACGAGTACGGATTTCCGGATAAACTGACGCGATTGGTCAAGGCGACAACGATGGATCGAGTGATGTGCGTTGTTCAAGTATCAGGGACACTCTCGAGTCCCTTTGAATCTCGCAGGGGGTTACGGCAAGGTGATGGACTTTCGTGTCTGCTATTCAACATCGCGTTAGAAGGTGTGATCAGAAGAGCTGGGATAGACACGAGTGGTACGATCTTCAGGAAGTCCATCCAGCTTCTTGGCTTCGCCGATGACATTGACATCATGGCACGGAACTTTGAGACGATGACGGAAACGTACATCAGACTGAAGGCATCAACGCATCAAAGACAAAATACATGAAAGGAAGAGATTCTAGAGAAGACAATGTTAGCCTCCCATCCCGAGTTCAGATTGACGGTGACGAAATCGAGGTGGTCGATGAGTTCGTGTATTTGGGCTCACTGGTGACCGCCGAGAAATTTAAAGACGCATTATGGCAGGGAATCGTGCCTACTTTGGACTCCGGAGGACGCTTCGATCGAATAAAATTCGCCGCCGCACGAAGTTGACTGTCTACAAGACGCTGATTAGACCGGTGGTCCTCTACGGCCACGAGACCTGGACTATGCTCGTGGAGGACCAACGCGCCCTTGGTGTTTTCGAATGGAAGTTGCTGCGTACCATCTCCGGTGGAGTGCAGATGGATGACGGAACATGGAGGAGGCGGATGAACCACAATTGCACCAGCTGCTGGGAGAACCATCCATCGTGCAGATTGCAAAAATTGGGTGACTGCGGTGGGCTGGGCACGTCGTAAGAATGCCGCACGACGACCCAGTGAAAATGGTTCTAGAAAGCGACCCAACAGGAACAAGAAGAAGAGGCGCGCAGCGGGCAAGGTGGATCGACCAAGTAGAAGCCTGCGGACCCTTCGCAGACTACGAGGCTGGTGAAGTGTGGCCATAGATCGAGTAGAGTGGAGACGACTTCTTCGGACAGCAGAGGACAACAAGGCCTTAGCCTGATTGGTAAGGTAAGTAAGGGATGGTTCCGTAGTTCCTGCTTCATAATAGCCCAGTATTTGGGGGGGGGGGGGGGGAGGGTTGTTCATGTCCTTGGGTACGAAAGTGACCCCGTTGGCTTCGTACCAATCCAGGACAACATTTGAATAGTGTGCACGAAGCTAGATCCGGCCAGAAGATCGTAGGTCCCTCGTGTTGCTTCAACAGAGAAAGCAGACGCTTCGGTAGACACTCCTTGAGGTAGATCTCCCCGTTTGCAGTCGCGAACGCCGCGCTCCGTTTGCCACATGAGCAGATCGCTTGCCAAATCATGTATTTCTTGGCAAACTTTGAAAGTTTCTGCTTCCTTACTTCCTTACTTCCTCCGGAACATCAAACTTGTGCTGAGCTGTGAAGAACTGTAGCCCCGGAAGCTACCGGAAGTTCACCTTGTCGTAAGTGAGGCTTCGTCAGCATCTGGGTGTACTGTTTTCGGGCCCGTGACTTTCCCACCGTATTTTGCCGTTCGTCGCAATTTGGAGCCTTCTGCACTTTGTACTCATGCAGTTCCTCCCGGTCCTTGGCTCTCTTAACGAAAGACTTGGACAGATTCAACTTTTTGGCCACATCCCTGACCGAAGCATTGAGGTTCCGCTTAAACGCTTTCACGACAAGCTTGTGATCCTGATCACTAATATATGATCCATTCTGACCGAGGGGGACGACTCTATCTACGATGCAGAAAAGATTGTGTTTTGCTGTGGCTAGCTGCACGTACGCTGAGTAGATAAAAGGAAGATTTATGTCGATTTTGAAGATTTCCTGCAAAAAGATGAAGCACGATGCAAGTAGATGCGAGAAATGAAAGATGATTTTCGAAGATTGATTCGTTAGTGTGAGATTTTTTGAGCATCTAGAATTGAGATTTAGATGTGTCTCCCCCCTCGATTCTGACTGCATTTTTCCTTCCGTTCGATTGCTCAGAGTTTTGTAGTAACGTTTTAACACACGACTCACCGTTGACTGCACGATTCCGAGTTGTTTTCCGATGTCCAGATGACAGAATTGAGGATTTTACAGAAGCTTGGGCAAAATCAATTCGTGACGTTGCTTTTCGGATGACGCCATTTTTTTCCAACTTTCGAAAAATTGACAGCGGTAAAAATACAGTGTTAACAATACACTCTAAACTACTTCTACCCAAATTGTCAAGAGAAAATACCCAATGAGGAATTTTCTACAGCGTTTTTCCGTGATGCAATTTGATGTGGGATACCCTTTAATGGGTGCAAATATTCACGTGTTTTTATTGACTTCGTTCGGTAGCTTGTGAACTGAAGAATCGTACCAAACGCATAAGGCCTGTACTCGAAAAAATGTACCAGACAAAAGTGTTCGCCAAAAATTTATTTTAAGTCGGATTTTCTTGAAACTTTCAGGGAATGAACTAATACATATGGATTATGTTTCAGCATAATTACTTTATTCAATTTCCTTTCCATCGCTGAAAGCCCGCACCTTTCCCTTAAGACCTCTCATTACATTTTGTACAATGGTGGAGCCGACCTTTTTGGTCACTTTCATCCATTCTTCCTTCAACTCCAGCTCGTTCTTAAACACCTTGGACGATTTTCGAACTTTGGCCTTCATTGTGGCCCAAAATCTTTCCACCGGACGAATCTCTGGTGAATTTGGCGTTATTGTCTTTGTACCAATCCAACGTCGATCGCGCGTAATGGCATGATGCCAGGTCCGGCTAAAATAATGTCTCGCCTCCGTGGGACCGCAGGAAGGGCAACAGACGCTTCTGGAGGCACTCGGTGCGGTTAATTTTGCTGTTGATGGTACCCATTGTGATGTACGGTTTACTCACTTTACCGCATTGACATATGGCCTGCCAGAGCAAGTATTTTTTGGCGAATTTGTCCACTTTCTTCTTCCTTATGTCTTCCGGAACATCAAACCGTGATTTGGCAACGTAGAACTCCAGCCCCGGTATCGTCTTTGCGTCTGCCTTGATGTAGGTTTCGTCATCCATAACCACACACATCGGTTTCGTTAACCACTCTCGATACAGCTTCCTTGCGCAGGATTTGCCCGCCGTGTTTTGTTGATCACGCCGGTTCGGTGCCTTCCGGACCTTGAATACACGAAGCCCAGCTCGTTTCATGGTTTGCTGAACGAACCAGGCGGAACACTTTGCCTTCAGAGCTGCGTCGCGAATCGAAAGGTTCGGATTACGCTTGAAATAATCCAACACCTTCCGGTTCCGGGCCTTCACAGGGTCAGTTGTCTTCGATTTTCTTCCACTTCCAGCCCGCCACTCGGTCGTCTGGGACTCCTTAAACGATTTTACCACCCGAGACACAGTTGTATGGGTGCTTCCCAGTTGTCTTCCGATCCATCTCATGGTCGCAGTCGGATTTTCCATGACGGCGCGCAAAATTCTCCGGCGATTTTCTTCTTGTTTCGATGACATCTCAATAACCATTGAACCGATTGTTATGAAATTTTGCACATGTAAGCAATTCACTCCAAACTAGTTATACCCAGATTTTCATCAATTTTTACCCACGGATAAAAAAGTTACACACGGATAAAAATGGTGCATTTTTTTTCGAGTACAAGCCTTAATTCACTTGTTAACTCGGAAATCATGAATTTATTTGATGTTTTCTACTCGATAGGCCCAAAATGGGCGATTAGGCCGAAGTAGTTCTCTACCCTACCTATTCCAAAACACCATCGATTGATTGCAAGAAGGGTCAGTTCGGATAATACACCACACGGGTCTTTGTTTTGTGTCCACTTTTTTGTAACTTTAATATAAAAATAATTCACGTAATAACTCTCGCTCCCAACATGAACTCCGGTTAAATCCGCTTTGTCGCAACATTTTCGTCTACACCGTGTAAGCCATGATCCGTGATTCCGTGTCTTCTTTGCGCAGTTTAAACATTATCTTCTTCCTTTGCACAAGCTCTGCGCCGATCGTTAGTGGGTGCTTCAATTTACTCTTAGCAGCGCTATTAGTAGGTATAATCTTATTCTAGCGTCACTGTGTATGAACTTTATTACATTCAGCTGTTTTTTTTTCTTTTACCAAGGGGCCAAATTTACAAGGATTTTGATCGATAAAATTTCTAAAATAAATGTGGAACAAACAACACGCGGTATTCGTTACGTCATTTTTTGAATTTGTGTCATTATTTTAACTATATGTAATATCCACACGGAATAAGGCGGTGAAACATAAAACAATATAGGGGTACACATCTATTGAGCAAAAATGCACATGCCGATCAATTTTCGCAGGTGTCGTTAATCGTGGGAAAAACACAACAAAAATCTAGTGTAAAATTACACAGTACGGTTCAAAGGATGTGACGGATGGAAAATAATCAACTCTCTTATGGTAAAAAATATATGAACAATCATTTCCCTACTATTCTATCCAACATGAAGGATCCAATAAAAAAAAATAATGATGAACATGATTTCTGCATAGCTCACTAGCAAATATTTTGACGAATTAATTATTTACGCTTTATGCTAAAAATATCAATAAAATATATTGCATTTCCACTTCTACTCAGATGTCGTTTTTACACAATTGGTCGATTTCCTAAACCATTTTTCCGATACTTAAACACCTGTCCCAAATAGCTGATCTTACTTTATGTCATAAAAACAGAACAATGAATTTCACGATGAATGTAGTGTGTCACAAAAGTCACATGCAGTTGTATAACAAGCTCCCAAACCAGCTTGTAGGATCTAAATTTGTGCCATTCATTCAAATATCTTATTATTTTTTTACGTTGCAGAGCGGTTTCTTGCCAAGTGCATTAGGTATTTTAATTAAGAGCTGAATAATTATTTCCCTTGTTGCCCACTTGCTGCTAGAGTTTTGGTCTATTTACAGGTTACTTTCATCCTCTTGATAACGTTAGGGGGTAACATTATTGTTGTTAACACAGTTTGAAATCCGTTTCAAGTGGTGGTATACTAAGTAAAAGGTGCTAAATTTCAATGCGAAAAAAATGAACATACTGCCAAGACGCTGATCAGATGGTTTCAGAGAGAATTCAAGGAATCTGGTAGAAAATCCTGGATTTTAAAAGAAATTACTTAGCTCAATTTAAGTTCGCGAACAATCTCTGAAGTCTGAATTTCAACTCGCTAATAGCTTCAATCGTTTCGAAATGTAGCAAACAATACTGAATCTTTTCACTGACCAGCGTCACACCTTAAAGAAACACAATTTACTCCTGTTCGAATTTATCTAGTGGCAAGATTTTTGTTTTCGCAGCTCATATAGTTAGGAATTTTTAAACGCCGATGTGATTCGATTTGGCACATGTTTTAGGACAATACCAGGATACTTTTTAAACAGCGAAAGACGTTTGTTGTGGGGAAGAGGTCAAACTAGAATCTATAATAGTACATTTAAAACTTTATATAGGTATGTAACACAACAGCAGTACACGGGGGAATATATTAAACTTCGGGGGTAAACACAATATCCATAATCATAATAAACAAAAGAAATGCAACATAAATGGATGGGGTTCAGAATGCTACCGTGTGTGTTCGAGTGTGTATTTAGCCGGTTGCTGTCGAAACATTGTCATATTACCTTTTCTGTGGGCTAAGTGCGGGTTGAAACGTGTATTGTTCATGCTTTAGTTTTCGTTCGTCTTCGGCCACTGAACTTGGTGGCCGGACCATCGCCGCTAGCAGCACGGCTGCCCACACCGGTCGACGATGGACCCTTTATCACACGGCCGCCCGTCCTACTGTTGTTGTTGTCGGTATCGGTACTTCGCTTAACGTTACTACTCGTACTACCTCTAAGGCTATCGAAGAAAACACTAAACCTACTATTGTTGCTACCATTGCTGAGATGGCGGTGGTGGTTGGGGGCCGGTGGCATTGCGGCCGCCGAAGACGGAGAAAACAACCATCCGAATCTACCCGAATCAGCCACCTCATTGTGACGATTTGCTGCTGCTGCTGCTGCACCACCGGAGAATGGCCACCACCACCGACCCAGCTGATGATCGTCGTTGGAGCTACCACTGGAAGCGTACTCTCAAGAGTGCTTCACCTTGCCGTTCAACTGACGAGATCCGGCTGACCGAGACGAGGGCGATGAGGGCCCACCGCTGATGGCATATTCGGTCGCGTGAGTCGCCACGTGTTGGATGCCTTTCTCCATGCAGGATTGATACACTGGTTTCATTATCTACGAAAGTAAGGGACAGGAAGTCGAGAACAAAATAGTTGTAACATAAGAGATAAATCAGTTGCGTTGATAGAAGAACTAGAACATAAAACAAAACTAAAAAAAACAAGATCAAATGGCGTAACTGTCCAGTACATGCCCAGGTCGAGTCTTATGATGATCTTATATTTATAAAGAAAAATAATGCAAACAATTAAAAAATTAACTAACAAAGCCCTCGAAAGTGTGCACGGTTTCTAGTCGTGCGAGAATGAAGTGCTCTGCGTAGTCGTGCGATTAGCGGCGTAAGTCTTTTGAGTGTATTGTGGTTGAGAATTTTCGACCCAAAATCCAGTCGGGCAGAGTTGCAAGCAAAATAAAGAAAATTTGTAATCAGTATAAGCTTACTTTCTTCTGTGAAGTGTAAGCTTGTATGTTACGGTATTCGCAACGCACAATCTCGGCGCTATACGGCGGGGCCAAAATCGAAAAAGAGGTGCACGAATCAAAAAGGCTGTTACTGCTTTTACGAGATAGTGAAATACAATGGAAATCAAACTGGATTAGCCAATGCACCAAAATCTAAATCCCCTTTATTCTGCGAGTCACGCGACTCTCTGTCACCGGTGAAGTGACGTTAACTCATAATCGCCAAAAGTGCAGAAACTCTGCGATGAGTAAATTAGTCTCATGGTTTTCTGTGGAAAACCTCAAAAATCTGCCGGCAATTGACGAAAATTTTACTCAGTCTAGGAGTAGTACCAATAGACTGTCCAAACCTGGAAAAACATGAGGCAAATTTACTCATCACTGAGTTCCTGCACTTAATGTGTAAACTAAACTCAAATTTGGATCGTTCTCATTCGCCGTGTGCAAATCTAATTTCCATTTCCAGTCGGCTCACACGAGGTGAACATTCTCGCGTCACTTTTCAATAGGTCCTATCTACATTGATCGATTCCCTTCATCGACTTTCTCTTTGGATCGCCACGGCCGGGACAAAGACAATAGTTTGAACGAGTTTGAAAAGTGACGCGAGTATGGTCACCTGAGCGGTGAGAGAGAGAGAGAGTCACGTGACTCGCACAATAGGGGAGAACGATCAATGTTAGCGTGAACTCGGTGTTGTTATACGCCAACGAAACATAGTCCGCGTCAGTTGATAGTACTCAAAAGCTACAGATTCACCTCACAACTGAATCTCGAATGCTGAGCTCCATCGTCGATGTCATCAGAAGTCAATATCCACCGACATTCTAGAACGTAAGGTGGATGTGAGTTAGAGTGCCACTTAACTGTATGGGAAACAAGTGACCATCGAATTTTTCAAACCGACCATATACAAAATGTTCATTGACTCGAAAAAACACAAATTTGGGCTCAATCGGACATGTTCTGCGTCCGCAAAATTCAAACTGTTTTTCATCTGAAAAATCTCCCAACATGCATGAAACGTCGAGACCCAGTGTAAACTCGAAACATTTTTTATTTTTCCCAAAAACAGAGTGACCAGTGAATTTTCATTTTAAAATTCCCGGTTTTCCCGGTGCAAATATTAAATGTTTCCCGGTTGCTCCTATTCAGCCAGAAATGAAAGTGTTCGATAAATTTGAGATTTCCAAGATTATTGTTAGTGTTAACTCGATTATTTTTCACATTCAGGAACGTTTTTTTTTTCCGAAATTTCACGAAAAAGCCTAGATAGTAAATTTTTTCTACAGATTACACTAGATCTCGACGTTTCAAGCATTTTTAAATCATTTGGCATAAAAAAATCAATTTCCTAAAGTTAAGTGTCGGAAAGTAGATTTTCGGAAAAACAAATTTTCGAGTTAACACTAGATCTCGACGTTTCACGCATTTGGTATCATACAACTTTAAATATTTTAGGTATCGCTTAAGGTGAAAGTTAATGCTTTTCCGTTGATATTGAATCCACATCCGTTCAAACCACACCCAAATTCGAAATGCACTAATACCAACAAGCATTGCAAATTAGAAAAATGGGAAATATTGAAATTTTGAACATATTCGTAAACACAATATTATTGTATAATTATAATAATTCTACTACTGAAATGACAACTTTCCACAAAATTCCAAGTTCAGGGTAGTCCTACAAATGCACAGAGAAGTCTTGCCGTAGTTCAGGGAAGGCCTGCCGAACTTCAGCGAAGTCCTGCCGAAGTTCAGGGAAGTCTTGCTGAAGTTCAGGGAAGTTCTGCGGAAATTCAGAGAAGTTCTGTTGAAGTTCAGGGAAGTTCTGCCGATGTTCAGGGAAGTTTTTCCGAACTATAGGGAAGTCCTACCAATGTTCAGAGAACTCCTGCCGAAGTTCAGGGAAGTCCTTTCATTTCAATTCTCGGAAATCAGGGAAGTCCTGATGAAGTTCAGGGAACTCATGCCGAAGTTCAGGAAGGCCTGCCGAACCTCAGGGAAGTCCTGTCAACGTTCAGGGAACTCCTGCTGAAGTTCAGCGAAGTCCTACCGAAGTTCAGAGAAGTTCTGCCGAAGTTCAGGGAAATTCTGCCGAAGTTCAGGGAAATTCTGCCGAAGTTCAGGGAAGTTATGCCGAAGTTCGTGGAATTATCTAATTATCTTTAAAAATACCAAGATATATCAGAATACCTGTATCAAAAAGGCTGACATTTTTACAAAATATACTCAAATACTTGTGATACAACTTGATAAATTTGAAGATCAAATTGGTTTAACAAATATTTAATGATCAATGGCGAAGGTGGATGATTTCTACAATTTTTGAAGATATAGTTCAATTTATCTAATTATCTTTAAAAATACCAAGATGTAACAGAATACCTTCATAAAATAGGCTGAATTTTTTGCAGAATATCCAAAAATACTTGTGAAACAATGAGGAAAATTGATGAACCTTTTGATTTGAAAAATATTTCATTTAGCAATGGCAAAGGTGGGTGATTTCTAAAATAGTTCCATTATTCTTTAAAAATATCCAGATATATCAGAAAACCTCCATCAAATAGGCTAAAACATTCACAGAGTATCCTTCAATTAGCTTACACATACACACATACACACGACTTAGAAATACTCTCAATTTAGAAATATTTTAACTATTTATTTTCAAGCACTTTCATAATGGAGTTCTTGTGATAACGCAAAGATGACATTGCCGAATAGCATCCGTTTCCAATTGGTATCTTAAGCGGATCCTACACGATTGCTTTTATTGACAATAATCGTATTGTCAATAAATTCAGGCATAACATTTGATAACGGCACAAAAGCATTTGTAAACAGACTTTCTAAGGCCTTTAACACGCGAACCAAAGTACGCCCACGCAAACCAATACCACTTTCGGAAAGGAGATAATTGCCCCTATCCGATGATGTTGTTGGTTTCCCTAATAAAAAATAACCATAAACGAACGATAACCCAAATAATTGAACTTTTCCACTAATGGTTTGAAAGATACCCAGAACACGTCGTTAAGCAAAATAACCATAACAATTTTATTAGGGTTGCGTGGGCGTACTTTGGTTCGCTTGTAAAGGGCCTTAGAAAGTTTGTTTACAAATGCTTTTGTGCCGTTATCAAATGTTATGCCTGAATTCTATATTGACGTCAATACATCGATATTGACAATATTTCTGTATTCACATCATCAATATTATTGTCAATATTTCCCCTTCGCGTCAATATATTGATACGTGTGGGGTTCGCTTTACAACATGCATCAATTATTGCGAATGAAAAACGTCACACGCGAGCTTGATCCTGCTGACGGTGCTGATGGTTTTTCTTGCTAATTCATTCATGGATCACCCCGTCGTGTGGTTTTTTTTTTTCGCTTCTCTGTTTTGTGCGAGGGTTCCAAATCACACACTGAGGCAAATACACCTAAGAATTTCATAATGCTCGACTTATGAACAACATATATGAATTTCATAAGCGTGACTTATGAATGATTTTCGGGTAACATGAGGTTGCATCGCAGTTGGGCCCTTATGATTCTGAACGCTAGAACGTTTTAATGTGTTTATCTGTTATTTCTGCACTGGAACATTCTTTCTACATCCGGAACTTTTGTTATGTGCTCCTGCTGAATCTATGCACGGTAAAAAGTTGTCATATATAATCCAAATGCTCTTGCACTTGACTTAGTCTGTTATGCGGCACTACGAATCGAAGTGATTTATCATTGATTTTCAATTTATTTGCGTTTAGAGACAAAGTGATTTGTCGTTGAAAATATATACGGTATGTACATGTACTGTACCTTTAAATCAAAATGATTATTATTTGAATTGGCACCACTGTTTTCATCCATTGAATTTGATTAGTTTTGCTTTTGGAAGCAAATGTCTAAACGCACATGCCAAACATTACTCGCGAAGATGGCAAGTCAACAACAAATGAAGTCAAATGAGAGAAGCAATAATTCTTCATTTCAACCCGAAATAATTTGCATTCTAGAGCGTGAGTATTATGAAATTGATGCTGTATTCAATAATAGTCTATGATTACAAAACATTGTCAAACTCTTCAAATGTATTGCTCCATGTCTTGTCTTGCCTCTACTACAAGCCTTGCAATGTTGTTCAATGTCACTTGGAAAAATGTGATCTGGGTTGTAATATGACACATGTTCAATGGACATATTCTGAATAACATATAACAAGGCTTGCAGTATGAACAAGGCAATATATTTATGTAAACCTATTTTCAGAAAACATGAAATCCAAGGATAAATTAGTTAAACTTAAAGTGATAGATTGTTAATATCAGTATGGTTGACATTTCGACTTCAAAGTACAGCGCATCAATGAACATGATGTTTTTTTACCGTGTGCACTTCTAAAGAGATAAATTCTCGCGGAAACATTCGAAAAGGGCCTATGTACAATATGTAAAAAATGAATTTTAAATTTTTCCGCCACTATTTAATTCATATATAAAGAAATTGAAGTATTTTAGGCATTTATATTGTTCATAATAACAATAATAACTGTATATCAAGACATTGTGAAGATACAAC